TAGAGGGGTTTTACTGTAGTTAAATAAAGTGAGATTTAATAGTGAAACTACACAAAAGAGTACACGAACAAAGCTGTCCATGCAGTCAAAGATTTTAGGCGCTTGTCGTCTATAAAATCGAAGAATGAGCAATATGCGTGAATTCTCAATAATACTGATATTAGTAAAAGTCGAAGCGACACTGTTCGCCTCTCTTCGTTTCGGGCTCTGATCTATATCCACCAGCAGTGGTCTTCCGGTACGAGGTAAATCATCGAGTTCCAAGTTGCCGTTGTTGAATCGATGGAACCAATGTTGTGCTGTACGAACGAACACTACATCTTTGCCCATCGTGCTGCATGTGTTGCTCGTTGCCTCGGTTGCTTTACGAGCCAAACGGAATTCATGAAGAAGAAGCATTCTTAGCTCTCGCTGAGATATATTTATTTCTAACGGGTGTCCCAAGAATAATGAGTCTCTCAGTATTTTTCTGATATATTTATTAAATCTGATTCGTTCGAGGATCTTTTTTTTCAAAAGATAGAGCTTGTCAAACTCTACAAAATGACATATTTTTATTTTTAAAATAACGTTCACCATTTTTTAAAACACGCTGTAAACGAATAGTCCAAGATGAGCAACTTTGTAAGACAACATCATGTCGATTTTTTTAACAGCACGTTTTAATTCATCAATTAATGTGAATTTTAATGTCACTTTCTCTCAGTTCACGCGCTGCGCAAATTCGTCCCAGATGCAATAGTCCACTGGATTTACGCCTGGACTATTCGGTGGCCAATGCTCTCTCCAAAGGTTTTATTTCTATATTCAAGTACGATAGGAATAACATTTTGGATATATCTAGCATGGTTCATTGCCCCCTTGGTAAAAAATGACTAATTATGTCACTCGCTTGGAGCAAACGCCAATCCAGACCGTAACTTTTGCCAAAATTTCTGTTTCATCTCGACTAGCAGCCCGAATACGTTGATTTTGGGAATTATATATTCCGTCGAGATCAAGCATTTTTTCATCCAAAAACAAGATACGCATCGTGTCCTCTTTTCCAAAGTTATTACCGATCCTATTAACCTTTTGGGTCCCGGTTTTTTTTGAGAAAACTAAAGGTTTTAAAGTAATTTTTAAATAGGATTTTAATTTTTTTTCGTAAAGGAAACTCAGTCTTGGTTCGGAAAACATCAATAGTTTGTTTTTGTATGATAGTCTTTGAAGCAGTCAACAATACATAATGGCACATCGCAGTCAGGACACATGTATTGTGTAACGCGTCGAAGATCACGAGATGAGCACACCACGCATCGTCTTCGAGGCTGTTCTAGTTGAGTTGTTTGTGGAATGAGCGCAGGGAAATGCCGAGCAGTTAAACGGAGAGAAGGAGGCCTTGCCGGTGGTCTTCCGATAGTAATTGATCTTTGTGATCCGAACTTTGTCAAAATTTCCCTGATCAGATCGAGTCGAAAATCAGATAAGTGGGGTGACAAATGATTTTGCAGTTTATAAACTACGAATGCATTGTATACCGCCATATCTAATAGGTGGAAAAAAACTTTCTTACACCATTTTACCGATTTTCTTATACACTCTGAAAATGACATTTGCATATCAACATGATCGATTCCACCCATGTTTTTGGCATAGTCCAGAATACAGACAGGTTTCTCAATCTCTTCTCCAGTTAGATGATCTACCTTGTCTGAATTCGCATATGCTGTTGAATGAATGGTTGAAAGCATGTGTACCTCTCGCTTATCCTGCCATTTTAGCGCCAGTAAAATATTTGTATGAGAGTATTGACTCTCGCCTCTCTTCAATTTAGTTGTAAGAGGTGGTAATCCTTTTCTATTTTTACGAACGGTAGCACATGCACCAGTCTTATTTCGATGTAAGAGCTCGAAAAGTGTTGGACTTGTATACCAGTTGTCGACGTATAGATGGTGACCTTTATTCAAATAACGCCGCATCATTTCCAATACAATTGATCCACTCAATCCAAGTTCAGATGTAATTTGACACTCTGTATTTGAGTCGGTGTAAACGATGAAGTCGAGGATAAATTTAGTTTCACAATCGACAAGCTCAAATGATTTGATTCCAAATCGGTGACGCTTCGATCGAATATATTGCTTGAATGCAAGTCTTCCTTTCCATAACATAAGACTTTCATCAATGCAAAGATTTTGTGTTGGATTGACACAATTTGAAAATTTTTTCTTCAAGCCATCTATGATTGGTTTTATTTTTTCGAGAGGATTGTTGTCGGAAATGTCTTCGTTATTGCTAAAGTGCAAGTAATGTAGAATGTCTTGGTATCGATTCCTTGTAAAATACTGACTGAAAATGGGCGTAGATAATAAAGGATCGGTGCTCCAGTAGTCTTGAATCCTATTTTTATTAATTAGCCCAGTGAGCATTGTAATTGCAAGAAATGTATGTATTTCCATCGAGGTTACGTCGTACCAGTTAGACATATGTTGACGTTCGCCTGCTGGATTCTGAGAATAGTAGCGATTTGTTTCGTCCACTATATGCTGCATCGTATTCTCATCGAAAAATAGTTGGAAATAATCAAAAGGTGTTTTTCTACCACGTAGAATTGTACTTCGGATACCTGGCTCACCACGAAACTCTGTTATCACCGGTGTAAATCTTCCAGACTGCCAATGACGTTCGGCTGGAAGTTCTTCATCACTGGAGTCAATGGTGATGGAACTGAGACCTCCCAAGAGCTCATCTTCTGACGATAAATCGGACTGAAAATTATTCATAGTTTTCTCAGCCAAATGTCGTTTTTTCGACGTGGCCATGATGAAGGCGTATGAAATAGTTACGCAGCAAAGAGTGACTATTATTCGTTCTTACTTGTATCTTTTATTTATTTGAGCGATATATATATATATATACAGCACTGATTAGAAACGGAAAGAATGTTTCAGATTTAGTAGAAGAGAGAGAGAACTAAAAGTTAACAGGAAGATAAAAACACACCAGCCACAGCTTCAAAAAACAATGCATACTAAATACCAAGAAAAAAACAAAAAAAGTGATTGTACTAGAACGATAGAAAATATGGATGGAATGTGTATAAGTAAGGATATCGATAGAAAGGAAAGAAAGAAGAAATGTATCACTATGGCACTTTCTAACAACCGATAAGAAGCTTTTCTAAACGGTTCAAACAAATACTAATACGACTTTCACTGCATCAATACATTTGCACACACATATGTGTCGCCGGGAGCGAGAGGGTTAAGGAAGTTTTCTCGTTTGGTTTTGTGTTCTTCCGTAAGTTTTGGTTCAATGGCCATCTTGTAGGCATGAAGTTTAAAGTCTTCCCTTAATATTCGATGTACACTTGCTTTGGATATAGGATAATCCTTAGTCAAACTTCGAACCGATACTATCTTCTTCTGGTCGAGTTGGTGCTTGATTTTTTTAATCGTTTTATTAGTTCAAGCAAAACGTGGACGACCAGGTGGTTTTAATGGCTGGATGGAACCGGTCTCATGGATCATCTTACACCATCTTTTTATGGTGATTAATCCTAACGAACCATTTAAATCACGGAAGATTTCGGTAGGATTGTCACCACTTNTTTTAATGGCTGGATGGAACCGGTCTCATGGATCATCTTACACCATCTTTTTATGGTGATTAATCCTAACGAACCATTTAAATCACGGAAGATTTCGGTAGGACTGTCACCACTTTCATATTTACGAGAAACTACTTGGTGAAGATGTTTACTTTTCATTATATGCCTAGGAAAATATACGTTCGAATAAAATTTGAAATATAGATTCTTGTAGAGGATGAGAACACAAATCTTTTGAAAACAAAACTTGTCCCGAATGAATGGATTTTGACACAGATGTCGGTAAAATGCTGATAGACTCATTATTCCTGGGACACCCGTTATTTTTCAATTTATGATTACATAGAATTATGTACATGAACATATCTGCATGCGATTGTTTGTCACAATCAAGATGACTTGTTATTTCAAGGAAACTAAATTGAGTTTTTTAAAAACATGAACTAAATTTTCATGACCTTTCCAAAGTGTAAACTTGCGTCTTCGGTAGTTTAGGAAGCGCTATTCAAAATATTTTCTTCATTTACAGACACTCGTTTTTTGAATTTCGCCATCATAATATTAAGCCAAGCAAAAATAAGGACTATATATACATATGAAACAAAGGCGCACACTTTTTCAATGATAATATAACTCGATAGTTCTACATTTCAGACAAATCTATCTCCTATTTTATTTTAATAATTATTTAAATAATAAGTTTGCCTTCGATATTCCTACCACGTGGGCCTTTTCATAATAACATATTTTTACCTATTTATTATTATCAAAGCAAAATTATACTTTCTTATTTTGTAATATAGGCACATTATTAACTGTTATTATATCTGTTTCAATATCGATAACATCTTTAACTAAATTACATATTCGTGCAAAATAAAAGAATTTCATCAGAAAATATGATTTCCCTAATTAAAAAGAGAATTATATGAAGGAAATTTGCATGTGTTTGTTATAATCAAAAGTCTAAATTTCTTTTGCAAGATCCGTTGAAAGATTAATATAAGCAATCGGATGAGGAAGGATCAAAGATGAAAGGTAAAAGATAGAACGAAAACTGACGAACAACTAACTGATCCCTGTGACACCTATTATTATATAAATGCAAACAATCGTGTACGTTCAACTTCAAGATTTATAAACAATCGCATCTTACTTTACGGCATTTATTATTATTTTGATAAGAAACAAACGTGTTCATAAATGAAAAAATCACAGGAGTATCTCTAGGCACATGCATGAGTAAATAATTCAGTCGAGGATAAAGTGTGTGAGTCTCAACAAACATCGTTTATTTAACACCACTCTCTCATTGTAAGTCAATTTTGAATCAACATGTGCTTTCTTGTATATATCCTGATGGTTTCCTTTGATTTTTGCTTCAGATCTAACGATAAAAGTCCCAAATAATGCGATTTCTATTACGTGTAGGTCGATGTGGATAGCGGTGAAAGTTAAAGCTCAATCGAGCCGCGATTATACATCGGTATGTAAATTACGGTCAGGTATGGAACATATCGATATATTGACTAAAATGCAACAGTCTCACACAAACTCTACTAAAAACTTAAATACCGGAATGATTTCGGTTTAACATAATTCCAGTTTCAATCAGTGAGTCAAACTCGTAAATTATTTTGATTTGGTATATATCTAGAAATGACACAACTTGAAATTAAATGTAATCCAAAACGATGGAGCTTTGGTTTCTTTTCCTTTTGAAAAAGTCATTTCTATGTCTCTTATCTTCTCTACATTACCAAGACTTTTGTCTTCTTAAAATATATTGATTCATTTACATGGAAACAAAAAAAAATACATAAATGACGCTAACATCTGCCTTGTAAAAAATAAAAGCAAGAAAGTGAACGTTAATCGCTACTGTTGTTGTTTTTCTCTGGCAAAAAAGTAATCATATCCATATGTTCATTATTTTGATTATATATCCTGTTAGTCAATAATCCATTTTTCATTTTCTATTTTCCAAAACAGTACTAAAACGAAATGGTGTATCTAGATAGTGTCAACGTCATTGTAGTATATTGAATCTGTTTGAAAAGGCTAATCCATATGCAGATGCAATATCGTTAAAACGATGTTTTTAACAAATATTTGTGAGTCTGTTGTATAAAGAGATGAAACAAAATCTCCAATCTGCGAATATACCTTATGTTGTATAGATGAACTAGTGGTCAGATGTAAATAAAAACAAAATTCACATCAAGAGTCCTGTCTGATATGGACTATAAATATATAATAATGAATAAATGTTGAGAAAAGATAGGAAAACGAAAACATAAATACAGATTGAGGAAATGATCTGGGGAAAATAGAAAAGAAGGAAATGGAACTGCGCAATAGAAAAAGAAATTACGCAATAACAAAGGTCATCATGACAACTAACATGATGATCAACAGGAAAGAAAAACAATAAATACGTATGCCGAAACGAAAGAGAACACGTACGGATGTTAGCGTCATGAAGTAACAGCTATGACGCTAGCAATATTTCAACGCGTNAAATACAGATTGAGGAAATGATCTGGGGAAAATAGAAAAGAAGGAAATGGAACTGCGCAATAGAAAAAGAAATTACGCAATAACAAAGGTCATCATGACAACTAACATGATGATCAACAGGAAAAACAATAAATACGTATGCCGAAACGAAAGAGAACACGTACGGATGTTAGCGTCATGAAGTAACAGCTATGACGCTAGCAATATTTCAACGCGTTTCTTCGTTAAATATAAGTTTGAATCTTTAAGTCAGATAGGAAACTCATCATACTGCGTTCACTTTTTTATTTCTTAATTAACATATGTCCACCGAAAGAGAGTTAGGAAAATTTCATCTGTTGCAAAAAAAATATTCCACATATGAGTGCAGTACATGAAAATGTCGGTGAACCTATTTGTTCCTTCTTTCCTACGTGTTAGTTAGGAAATATTTTTCACCATTAGCTTTTATTTGAAATAGAACGTTATTCCAATAAATTCTCTTTTGCTGTTTAGTATGATCATATGAACTGTTTAATTGCAAGTTCGAATGTACGTAAATGAATATCCACATGCTGATTATAACTTGAAAAGTAGGTAACGAAAACTGAATCATATGCTTGGATGTATGAACCATGTGTAAGTATGAGTCACTAAAACTGTGCCTTATTCCAGCATCAACCTTATGCCATTACCCATGTAAACACCAGACGTAATATAGCAGCGTTTAACTGCATTTGTAACTTGATTTCGATTATATTAACATGAAGAGCTTATTATCAAACATAGTCAAAGTTAGAAAAGACTAGAAGCGTATAAATTGTGTTTGAAATAAAATTATAATTGTTGAGAGGAAACGCGACGGGGTGCTGTATTTAATCCATAGAGAGAAATAGCTATAAGTACGTTCGTACTTCAAAGTTTGAAAGTACACAGTTAAATACATATTGTTTTGAATAAGAATATATTTCGAGTAAGTATAGCTCAGTGATATAAGTTCGCGACTTTTGATCACGCAAATTAAAAATTCAATTCATAGGCTAGAGTAAACTAAGACTATCAGGATATAATGAGAATAGCGACTCCGTTCGACTCTAAGATGAATTGATAGATATTTTGCCTAATTTTTAAATTTAAATAAAATGCATCTTTACTAAAAATGTTCACATGGACAG